TCCTAGTACGTGTGTTCATAAAAATGTCGAGCACACAGGAAAAATCTACACCGACCAACCAACTTGAGTTTTACCACTAATATCCACATCTATTTCACTTAATTTGAACAATAGATCCCATATATCTAAAATGCGTGCCCTTATTAATGACTTCATTGCCCAAAGTTATAATTCCCCACTAAATCTATTACTACTAAAATTGCACTCCATGTATTCATTTTTGGATCTACTCAAATAAAAAACTTTTAAACTATAAGGTTGACCTCCATAATTCAAGATTTTCTTCAACTCCCTCTCTATCAATAAGAAAAATATTATCAACAAAAAGCATACACCTGAACACATCCATATATATTGTAAGAACATGAAACAAATATACATAATTGATATTCTTAATCAAATCCTATAGATTTTTTGTGTACTAATTAACTCACTTTCAAAAGGTATTTTTAAAATAAAGTTATTGCATAGAAAAATGAGCCTTCATTACTACCTATTGGCATAGCAATTAAAAAATAGATAATATAGATACATTGGGAGAAGATAAAGCAAAAAATGCAATGTATGGTTGAGATGAATTAAGCAATGACAAGTAGGGGCATAAAAGCTTTCTAGGGGGGCAAAATTGAATTTTTAGAAGGGGAAAAATGGATTTTTTACTCTCCTTTAAGTTAAAAAAAATAAAAATAATTAGTTAAACCGCATTGTGTTTGAGCACATGTAACAACTCCTGCACATATATCATTAATGACTTGAATATAAGCATTATTAATTCCTTTCTTTTCTAGAACTCTCGAGAGTACTTCTCATAGAACTTTATCATATGTTTTGTCTAAATCAATAAATATCATAGTATATCCACTTTATTCTCTATATATTTCTCCACCAAACCGCTCAATAAATATATAGCTTCCAAACCTATCTAACATGAATCCAAATTATTTTTGAGAAACATGTGTATCACTTTATAACCTATGCTTGATAACTCTCTCTTATAGTTTTAATGTATGTCACATTAACATAATTCCTCTATAATTCGCATACTCTTGTGCATCACCTTTATTAATAAAAATACAAATTAACACACTCTTATACTCATTTGGCATCTTTTAGTCCTCAAAATAATATTAAAAAGTTTTCTAAGTTAGGAAATTTCTTCATCTCCTAAGTATCTCCACACCTCGATGGAATATCTAGGTACAATAACTTTTCTATAGTTTATTTTCTATAAAGTCTCTCTAACTTTATTTTTATTAATATGATGAAATAAAAAAGTCTATTTTCATTTAAGGTGTTAAGGTTACTAAAGTTAATTGTACTCTCATAATTTCCATTGAAAAACTTATCAAAATATCTAACACCTTTGTTAAATACCCTCCTCTAATAAAAGCACTTTTTAATCTCCATTCCTTAATGCACTTCATTTAGACTAAATCCTTACTTCTCATTTCTCTTTGTTTGACTAACTTATACAAGTAACTTTTGCCCTCCTTAGTATATGATCGATATATAAATCATTAAAATCTAATTTTTTTGCATTGCATATTACTTTCTTAGATTTCTTATGGGTTACTTTATGTCTTTCCAATTTTCCAACCTTTTAAATTGAAATTAATTTTTATTACAAATTTTCTTATTTTTTAATTTTTTTTCTTGTTCCACCACAAACTATTTTTTACTATTATGAGTTTTTTCTTTTGATACTCCAAAAATATCCTTTGCAACATTTATAATATTACTGGCTATTTTTTTACACATAACATTAAGTTTTTCATGCACAATTACGATCTTAAGATCTTGAATCTTACTCTCAATAATATTTTTATTGTGTTTTTTAAATACTCTCATATAATCATATTATAATAGTTTACATTATTTTTATATTATGCTCCTTTGGCTTAAAATCAAAAACTAATTAGTCATGCTTGGTATATAAACTTCCACTCAAAATAACTTTAAAATGGTTTTAATCTAAACGATATATTTTTCTTATAACAAAATAACCAATCTAAGTTTTACTATATCCATTCTTATAGGTGATTAGATGCTTCTCATTTCTTAAAAAAGATATTAGCAATTACAAAATCATAAAGCTAAAACAAAATCTAATATAGTCCTACTAACTTCATTAGTCGCTCCAAAATTATAGTCATCATGAGTACTTTTAAAATCTTTTACCACTCTACCAATATGTCTATTTAAATAATCTCCTTCAGCAAAAATAATTTCTTCAAGAGATATTTTTTATATTAATTATTCAAAATCATTCCAAAATTTTGATTTTAAACACATATTCAAACCTACTTGAGGAGCAACAATATTTATAATTATATTAATAATCTTAGCATCAAAAATAAATTTTAAAATTATAATTTTATCTCCAATTGTGTGAATTTCTAAAATATTATCCTTTACACTCTTATCTATAATCATGCATGCATAATTTCTAATATAACTCATATCATAAACTATCAATCTTCTTTGTCTTCTCTCCAACCTATTTAGCTTCCTGAAAAATATAAATTAAAAAAAAAAATCAAATGCTACACAGATCACCCATACAATAGTACACACTTCCTTAAACACATGTCACCCACTGTTTGACTGAGGGAGAGCGAGGGAAGAAGAGTTTTGTCCATCAGTCTTTGGGCAAGCTCGATAATGTAGGGTGCATACTGGGCGAGCTCCATAGTTAGGCCAAGCTTGGCAGTGTTGTGTAGCAACAGGCGAGCTTGCAAGTGAGTTCTAATGAGGTACTTAGATGTTCTTAAAGCTACTAGCGACTTGTGTTGAGCCTTGAATCACCTAAGTGAAAAGGTTAGTGATCTGTGATGGTGAATAAGGTAGGCTTCGTAGTTAGCCAATCACAACAAGACTAGCTGAAGGCTCTATGAATAGGTGCTTTGTATAGCTAAGTTTGGATGAAGGGATGGTCACTTTAGAGGGAGCGAGTGATTGATGCAACATCCTCATATGTGACAGCTGATAAGTTGTTGATTTGACAAGTAGGTCCTTGTCTGCACTACATCAGGCGAGCTCTTTAGTAAGTTTGGGTGAGTAATGCTTATTAATTCTTTGGATGATTCCTCCTGTGATTCTCTTGCGTGAAAAATCACCCATATCATTTAGGCGAGTTCACCCATTGGGTGGAGAAATTATTGTGTGTGGAATCCGATCACAACGATGTATTCGGTTGCTTACGTGGAAAGGGTTAAACAGTCAATTGACTTGCGTAAACCTCGTAAACCCGACCCGTCTTCCAGCCCGACCCGGGAGATTTAGGTTGGCGCTTCTTTTTTCAGTATTTAAGGCGCGCGCGAATCACCACAATATATAATGCTTAGAGCCAAAATTTTCGCAAAGAAGCCAAAAATTTCGCAGAGAAAATGCCGATGAAGATGGAGATTGATCTGGAGGAGGATGTTGGTTTTTATGAGCAGACAATATTTTCGCAGGTCTCGGAGGACGTCGATAACCTAGAGAATGACGACGTCCCAGAAACAAGCGCACATGAAGTAGAACACGTAGAACCAGTGGGACTGGACGAAAAGTTCAGCATCTCGGTAAAGTTTGCCTCCT